CTCTCCTCTCTTCTCTCCTCTCTTCTCTCCTCTCTTCTCTCCTCTCTCTCGCCTTTCGTTTGAGGAACAGCAATGCAGGGAGTGATCTTCAGAGGATGATGAATTGCAAGGGTGCGACCCTTCTCACAGAGTTCTCAATTGTGGTCACTTTTCTTCCAGCTGGAAGGGGCCCTCTACATTCTTTAAATCCAGCCGAAGTGGGAACTGGATGACGACTCCGGATCGCTCTATCTTTCTTGCAACCTGGAATCCCAAACAACCATGAAACAATTGGATGTTTCCCCAGTGCCAACCACTGTAAAGGATCTCTATATTTGCCGTATTGGTTCTGGTTGGGACCGGGTTTCCAGAAGCTCTTTTGAATCTCTCTGTCCGACTCCTGAACACCAATACACCGGAGCTCCCCGGCCAACCCATACCCAATCCCGGCCACTGACGCCCGATGTCAAATCAAAAGAACTCGTCTCGACTCGTTCACACTGCACGGAAGGCGGGGAGGCCTCGAGGTAGCACGGAACCCGGGCCGAGCGGCTGTAAACGTCGCACTTCTCGGTGTAGCACTTGGTCTTGACCTCCGGTGCCTTGAAAGGCCTGTGACGGTGCCGGAGGGTCCCCGAGAGAACACGGAGCCGCCGCGCGAGAAGAAGCCGCATGGATGGGAGGCGTAGGATGTCCCATGGAGTCTTTTTGACGTTGAATAGGTTTTTGGATTGATTCAACGTAATAACAGCTTTTGAGTGGGTACCGGAAGTCAGGCGGGTTAAGACACATGTTTCTTCAAACATCTTCAAACTAAGGATGGGACGAAATCACATGCTTATCTGCAAAGAAAGTCGATCCAAATCACTGGGATCTCGAGATGCACATGAGTCTACAGGATCCGAACTCTGCTCGCTGAGAGACCAGGATTCAACCCCAAACTCAGACGCTTCGAGAACTTCGAACACATACTCTTTCATCCCGGTCTTTGGTTCCCGGTCTTTGGTCTGTTTTGGGGGAGTCACACTGAAGTCTAAGTGTTTAAACAAATCCCTAATGCCTTTCTTTGGGATGACCATGGAGGACTGAACAACATCAAATCAACATCCACCACTCATGACTGCAAAATAACTTGTGATGATCTCTTCTGCTCAGCTTTGTCTCCTGCCCATGTAGATCTTTCTACGTCTTGATGGAGATCACGTTGTCCGGTCCCAGCCTGGTGCCCACATGGTCTGCCATGTAACCACCGGGTTGGAACCTCCCCGCGAGATTGAAGTCTGCCAACTTCCACTGTCTGCCTGGAGCTGACAGTCCATGTCGAGTTGTGCACGGTCCATGTCGAGTTCACGAGAGAAGTTGTCCACCGAACGGGAAGAACTCGATGTCTGAGCCCCTTCGGTGAAGACCACCGACTGTCCACCGATTGGGTCTGTTCCATAGAACTGTCTTTGGGAGTGAAGGCGTGAGTCATTCACCCCCAAATAAGCAGGAAACCTCTGAGAGGTTCAGGTGTCTGCTGTGTTTCTGAGGTTTCGGGGAGGTGTTTCTTTCGCAAGCTGTGCAGCACGGATAAGCCCGGGGTCAAACAAGCAATAGCCAACCTCGCTGAGCCAGCTGTCTACTTGTTACAGCGACGGAGCCCTGATGCACGGGCGGGTTCCCTTTCAGAGATCCGACTTCATCATGGAATGCCATCCAAATGGCCGAACACATGCACCAAACAAACTCGCATCGCAATTCCCCTCCAATTCCACCAATCACATCCAATCACCACTTCTTGGTTCGGAAAGCCCATTTGCGCTCGCATGCGCTCGCGCTCGGTTCATCTCGCCTTCGTCGGATTCGCGGAAAAAAGACACGTTCCGCAACTGCGGCGGAGTGCGAAATGCGAAGGTGACTCAGTAACTCGCACATACACTTAGTCACAGGGTTTGCAGTTAACCATAGCCCCAGGTGGTGACAAATCCAAACTCCTAGATACGGAGGGGGACACACACACACACACACACACACGCGCGCGTGGGGATTTCGTTCCTAGTAGCTTCTTGTTACTAGTAGTAAGGCCTGGAGCTACGTTCGTAGCGTCCGACCGCTCCGTTCGTAGCGATGCTCTTTGTTCCGTTCGTAGCTGGTGCCTGAGGACAAGAGTACATTGCAGGGCTTGATGTCTCGATGTGCCACACAGTTCTCGTGGAGATATTTCACCGCATTCAGGAGCTGCTGCATGGCGCTCTTGACAGCAATGGAGTCAGGTGGCATGTAGACCTCGCGAGTCGTTTGGAATAGATTCCTCTTGGGACGTTGTTTTTGCTAGTGGTGATGCAACGACGAAAAAACGTGGACTGGTTCGAACTGAGGAAACAAACATCAAGGATGAAAAAGGTCGTGCTTGGCGAGACCTGAGAGACCTTGTGGGGAGTGAATGGAAGACTTTCATAGTGTTTGTCGATGTACTGGCTCATGCTCCCCTTGGTACATAGTTCAAGCAGCATGTCGATAACGCCATCCTTGGAGAAGAAGTCAATGATCTCAACAATGCCCTGATGCTTCAACCCACTGAGTATTTCTGCCTCATTTGCACAGTGAGGGTCCTTCTCCAAGGAGACCTGCTTCCACGCAAAGTGTTTCTTCGCGTTCTTCTGCTTCACCTCTTTCACGTCTGCAAAGGCTCCCGAACCAATTCGCTTGACGACTGAGTAATTCTCTTCGATCGCGGATGAACCGCGAGATGAAGCTGAGGTCAAAGAAAAAGTGTGGGACACCGACATGGCAAGCCTTGCCAGCAGCCTCCGTGAGAAGCCAATGTTTGAGCATAAAAACTGGTGGCCGGATTCTTTTGGTATGCGATGGCGTCGCTGTGATTTCTCAAACGCCTCATCTCGGAAGAAGCTGTATCCTTCAGTCGGTTTTTAACGGATACACCGTTGAAAACAAACTTGAGGCCGAGGGTAGGTGACGAAAGCTAGCAGGGGTGCATCCGGACTGGTGGGACATCAAGCGGAGTGAGGCAAATGCTCATGAGGTAAAACGTTGTGAACATGTAAGACACACAAACAGCAATGACACAGCCAACCTTAGAATTGAAGTCCCCGATAATTAAGGAAGCGTGGCTGGACTTTGCCACACTGTTCGATGCATCCGAGGTGTTCACGAACCTGTGAGCTTGTTGAATCTGTTGCACCGTATCCCAAAACCTCCACGGAGGAGTTGAAGGAGGTGTCCCAGAGGCAAAACAAAGCTGCTTGCATGATTTGTTTGGTTTCTTCTATCGATGTCGATGTCATGAACCTGTGAGCTTGTTGAATCTGTTGCACCGTATCCCGGAGGAGTTAAGCCAAAGTGGATGCCATAAGAGATGCCCGAGAGGTGTCCCAGAGGCGTCCGAGGGGGGAGTTGAACCCACGGGGGGGGGACCTACATATGAAGTTTTCACGTGATGCGGCGATCCCGAGGATTCCAGCCCCTCACTTGCTAAAGCAAGGACAACTCCAGCTAGCTGGTGCTAGCTTTCGTGACATGGACCCTGAAAATCACTGGTTTGTAGAATAATGAAATTGTCTTCCGCCGGTCAATTCTCAAGATCCATGTTAGTTTTCGGGAGTGTAGGACAAACTATTGAACATCCCTAGTCCCTGGATCTTCATTTTCAGGATTCAGACTCCATCTGGAATGCACTGGCGAAGACCGGGTCCACACACGTTCTCGGCCCGATGCGGTGTCTAACTGGTCTCATTCTTCTCATTGGTTGTCACTACCACCCCGTGTCGCAGTCTGACATCGGTTTGACCATTTGATTGGTGAGCCAACTGGGCACAACTCCTGCGCCAATCCGGCGCCAATTCAGCTCCGAACATGCCAGTTCACATCCTGGAAGACACATCGCATAGCGATTCAGAAGACGTTTCATCCACCCTCCGACCGGAGGTCCTCACTGCTGAAAGGCACGGTGGCGTCGGGGAGCAACAGCAAGCCCGTCTCCTTGCGCTGCCTGCAGAAAACACCGAGCGGATGAGGGTGCAGTGATTCTTTTTTGCGGGGGGATGAGGAGTTGGAGGAAGAAAGGTTGGGTGCCTACAAGGAGTAGTACTGTTGCTCTTGCCCCTCAAAACCGTGCATTTTTTTGTTGTGGCGGCATGGAATGTGTTGACTTTGCTTTCAGTTATTGGTTGTGAGTTCATTTGCTACTTGCGGAGTTGTTTGTTGAGGTTCCACAATCCACGACCTCTGCCGTGTTTCAACAACTCCAATCTATTCAAGAGGCTGGGTCATTCGGGGAGGTGGGCCACCCTAAAAGCCCTCAAAGGTTCATTAACTGTTACTAGTATATAACTACTCCCACCACTACTGCTACTCCCACCGCTGGTTTCAACCGTTTCTGTCTTGTCTCAATATGTTTTCACCTTCTCATCGTTTCTCTGGTCAAGGCCCACCTGCGGGCCATGATCACACTGGAGAGGTAGGTGAGAATCTGAGCCAACGCTGTCACGGGACGGAACCAAGCTCCGCCAAGCCCCGCCACGGGTGGAACCAAGCCCCGCCACGGGTGGAGAAAAGCCACGGATGTTTCTTTTTTTTCTACTTGACTGACTGGTTCATACATTGCGCAACTTTCTTCACCCACTTGGTTTCGGGACATGTTCCGCATACCCTGTATATCCCATTACCAGTAACAGTGGATGATGATGGTTAGTCAAAGCCTTTCTCAAACATCGTGATAATTGTTTACTGTCTGTTACTGGTATTGGGCTACACCGACACCCTACACATACCCATATTCAAGTCGGTGCTTCGTCTTTGTTGTCCAGGTCCGGTCCGGAAGAGAAGAATCCGTCCTAAACAAGAGGTATATAGACCCCGTGTCATAGATAGAAAAGTAGATCCCCACTCAAAATGTATTGGACACCGTGCCACTATCTATTTAAAGGACTATAATACGGGGGGTGGGTAAACAATCTGCCCAAGAACGTACATGTTTTGACCTTGCTGGGAGATGAACAATGCATTCCCTCAGTTTTCCCGGAAATATCACGGTTAACCTGTTTCCAACTGTTGGAATTTAGTGGGGAAACCAATACACACAAAAAAGGTATAAAACGGGTTTAAAGGTTCTATAAAATGTTCTACATCCACTTTGCAAGGGAAAGACCATGAATTCCTGTCCATCCTTGGCAGCTTGCTGTGGTCTCTGGGCGGTGGTCATTGCTCCGTTTTGATGGCTTGCCGAGCAGTGGCCGATAGAGGTTTGAAGAACCCGAGCAGTGGCTTTCGTGATCAGTGGCTTTGGTTTGTTGGGGGAAGCCACACATTGTCACATCGGATGAGTTTGAAACCACGTTCAAACGCCAAGCTCTATTCACCAGTGGCAAACACAGAGCCGGATCTACTCCCTCACAGCCTGGGATGTCCGCCTTCCAGAATTTCCAATCTCAAGCTTCTCATGGCAGATCCACCAGGTGATTTACATGCCATGAGAAGCTTGAGTCGACATGCTTCCCATGTCATGCTTCCCATGCTTCCCATCTGTCACCAGTCAGATCGCCGTCACCCCGTCGGTCTCGATCGGACTCGCCGCGACCGCGGACTCGTCACTCCACCCGGAGCGACGAGAACATCGGTGAGACCGTTGCTTCGTTGCTTCGGTGAACAGCGTCGTTCGACCGGGGAAGACGAACCGACCGGTACGTACCGTCCGACGTTTCTGGGGCTTGGGTGAAGAACAAACCACTTCGATAGAAGGGTCATGGGAGTCATGGCCGAAGGTTGACCTACCTCGTGTCGGCCAGTCGGTGGACGGCCAGCGAACCCGGCGAGTCCAGCGAACGGTCGCGACCAAAAACGTTCAAAGGAGGCCTCTCAACGGAGCGTTTGAGCACCTCCTTCTTCTCCCTTTGGACCATCGAGATGATTGGCGGCACCGCACCTCGAAGGGTGCCTTCAAGAGCTCCGCCAGGTGCACTGGCAGGTTGGCCAGTTGGGCGCCTGAGAGCGGTCAGGCGGGTGCTTTGGGTGCTTTGGTTGGTGTGTGGGTTTGGATGAATGGAGATGAGTTGGAGAGGGATGCCTAGGAGGATGCCTATTTCATGGTCGTTCTTTTGAAGCAAATCCAATCTTGGGGAAGCTTGTAAAGTGGTCAAAACATATCAAAACTAACCTTTGAATCTGAGGATACACAGAAAAAAGCAGCAAGGGCCATTAACTCAGAACAGTGTGAATCCTTCGTTCACAATCCTTGTATTCCGCTTACCCAGCCATGCGCAGCCAGCCATGCAATGTTTGCCAGGAGGGTCGGCCATGGGCGAGAACGGGAGGAAACCGTTTCGGGTGATGGTGGTTTGAACCAACAGTGCACCAAACGGAAAACCGTGAAGTGCACCAGAATGGTTTTACACCATACGGGGGTTTCTATTCATGATCAGTCAACATTGATGTGCAAGAAACATCAAAAATCAACTTGAAGCGTTCACAATCTGTCGTGCATATATATATATATACATAATTATATACGGGGTTTCGCATCTGAAATCAGAAACCTAATGTCATCCGGAGAAAACAACACTATCGGTCCTTTGACCTTGTCATCCTTCTTCTTGTTTCTGGCGTGTCGTGGACCTTTCTGGCGAGCTCGAGCTGAAGTTGGTGATGTTGATGAACTCCGGGGAGAATCGCTGCAGCTGCTGCTGAATACGTCATCTCATCGATGCCTCCGTTTCCGCCCCGGCTCGATCCGCACGGTGGCTCCGCACGGCGCGCCCCGCTGGGACCCGGAACCCAAAGACCGATCCTCCGAGCGCTTGTCCGCCTGCGTGTGTCGGCTGTAGAGGTCCGCCTGAGGCGTGCGACACGTCGGACGAAGGCGGTGGATGGGTGGAAGGACGGGGGAGTCTGGGTAGGACATCTGCTGAGGCGCGGACAATTGAGACGAAACAAATGGTAAAACATATGCCAAATGAGAAGCGTCTGGTGATTTTTGGGTTGAGCAACTGCAACTTTGTGCAATCCCAAATCCACAGATTCCTCTTAGTATTGTGGAAATGGTTCCTCGCACAAAAAGTCCAAGCCTGCGAAGTTACCCTCGTCGTCGTCCGCTTTAATCCGATACACAGCGACTCGAATAATATATATATATACCTCCACTCCAAGCGCATCAAATCCTGCAGTGAGATGATCTGCCCAAACCCGTCCCATGCGACGACTCGACTGTCTCGTTGCGCCTGCTGGATGGTGGCGAGGCCCTCCTCGCGCACCCAGGTCACCTGCATGTTGCGGGTGGCAAGCAGATAGTGATAGTGTGTTTCACACACCACATCCAGGTGATAAACAATCTATCACATGTGTTAAAACACAAACAAAAAAACAAGCATTGTTCCACATGTGACAAACGCAGCATGACATGGGTGACATCAAACATGGCGGGCCAAAGAAGCAAAACCCTTCCCTACTCCGCCATGCCCTACCTCGCAAACGTCCAAGTGTCAGTCCGTTTCGATGGTTGCGCACTTGGAGGTTTGGCCAGAACTGCAAGAAGTCTGGTGGCTTCACCCCATCCATGGCATGGAGCCTTCACATCCTTCACATGACCACAACATGAAGTTTCCATTCCTGGACAGCTAGGGTACTAGCTAGGGTGACTCACGTCCAACCCTTCAATTCCTGGGTCGTCGCCTACAACCTGTTCTGTGTCATGTGGACCGATGCGCCCTGAGCCCGATCCAAGGACCCTTTGATAAACCGTGAACGCAGGGTGCCTCAGGGTGTTGCACATGAAACCTTCCAATCTAGTTGGCGGGGTGTAAATGGGGCTCTTTTGGGAACCCATGGCCA